GATTTGTGCGAGGTATCGGCTGAGATTTGTGGAGTTTCAAAAATTTCTCTATGTATAGTGGAAAATGTAGTTGATTACAAAGGTTACAATTTTTATTTTGAAGACTGCATGGTCTAGGAAGTGTACATTTTTTTATGGGGCAAGTTTCCAAGGGCGGCTTTTCTAGGGGCGAGTTGACTGCCAAAGTGTTGCCAAAGAGTATTGCCAAAGTGCGAGCCAGCGTGGTATTTGATCACAAGTGCGAGACATCGCAAGTGCGAGCCAGCGAGCCATGACGTTACGACAATAGATACGAGACGTTACTCGAGTTGTGCGAGGTATCGGCTGAGATTTGTGGAGTATTATTCAAAAAACAACTATAGGTCTAATAATGAATTATTTTGATGTTAAATAGACAATGTTAGCTATCAAGGAGCGACGTTGTTTTTCATTGGGACCTTCGTCCCTTCAAGGCTAGGCCTATACCATCCTAGCTAGTCTAGGCCTAAAGTAGGATAAGGCTGCATGACATGCGGACATTGGTACGTGTTGGTTAGTCTACAAACGTCGCCTAAAGTAATTGATTTTACCCGGCAGAACGAAAGAAGGAAACTCCGCTTTTCAGTCGTCTTAGGCCCTTGTTTTTTGACAAACAATGACCTTTGAAAGGTCAAATTGCTGTCAAGAATATGAATTGGCTGCTTTGCAGCAATAAATAGAAATCTTACTGGAATATCCTAAAACATAATACTAATTAATGATTATATTGAACATATTTATCGGTAAAACAGCTTTTATGTGTAAATTCAAACAAATCTTGCTTCAAACAATTACACGTGAAGACGTTAGATCAGCAGCTATTTTCATTCATCCGAATTGAGAGTTGGACGATTTGGAAAATTGAAAATATTGTTTGAAAATGTCAAATCTAATTCATACTTGGCAAACATTAAATATATGTAAACTTTTACCTGTTTACTTTCTACATAAGTTCAAAGGTTAGCAATTGCAACCAATAAACGATTTAATCCAATTTTTATAAATCTGGATACAAGATGCAGAACCAAAACAATCAGCATCAGGGCCGCGACAAAGATAACAGTGCATGACGTCACTCTTCTAACATATATGTACCTACCTTCGGCATTCATTATTTGTCACCCGATCTTAGTCTTTGAAATTTCTCAAGGTTGACAGGTATAGGGTAGGTTTGGAAACTCCACATTGTGTATATCAACCAGTCACAGCCTAGAATTAAACCTTAGGGCTCATAATACCAGACATGCCAACCACTCAGATTTCAGCTACTTCAGTTACTCCGTTTATTTAAGCAAAACTCATCACTCCGATTTTGGGTTGAAAATCTCCGCTTTTTACGCATTTTGGCCAGCTGAAATAAATCGCGCATTTCCGAATAAAAATGATAATCTAAGATTTAGATAAAGAACAAGACCACTTCATTTCGTCCTGAAAACAGCGCTCTTACATATTTTATGGCTATGGCACCATAAAACCTCTATCATGCCTAGGCCTACACGAGGCCCACGTACGCAGCATGCTAGACAACGCCTGGAAGGCTTGAACTGAGAAGTAGGCCTAGCCTAGACATCGACCTGCAACAGTCGCAGTGTCGCATCCTCCTACCTAGCCTGATTTCAATGGTATCGGATTACCGACTCTTCAGTGGTGGAGTACATAATGGTTTGATTAGTAGCAGTTGCATCCCAAACGCAATATAGAAGATGACATTTTCAACACATAAAAAATTGTTAAATTTCGGCCATTATCCATGACATGCGCCCTCACAATGAATGAGTATTCATATTATTCTTAGTATTCATATTATAACAAGAAATATATTCTGAAATTTCCTCCAAATACAGAATATGACCCAAACAGACCCATTTTAGTTATAATTTGTACTTTTGAATTGGTACATTTCAGAGCCTTGTCGAATGGGAAAAATTTACACTATAGGGTTCTTACCGGTATTGTATCGGCGGGTGGTCTACCCGTTCGTGCAGAACTACTGTAGGCTTTCAAAAAACCATTGACCTCTGATGTTAAGACCTAAGGTACTGTATTATGCAAATGATGAGTCTTATCAAGTTTCCCACGCTTTAATTAAGAAATGGACATTGGCGTTGGTACACTGCATAATGTTGTCTCAAATTCAATTAATGAAATGATCGAAGAAGCTACAACAATAAGCTTCATAAAACGTAGGACCTACAGTACATTGAAAACTCTCAATAAATCGCAGATGTGCATTTTGGCTGTATAAACCCAGAATAAACTTTCATTCATTTGGTAATGGTAGTATAATGGTAGTATGAAAATTTACCATTAAGCAATGGTACCACGATCACGTATGTATGCGGCAGACGTATGGCGTGTGTTGAAACAAATAAGGAGCAATCAAAAAGAGATTAAATGATAAAGAATGCCCCCTGCTGCTAAAGCATGCTGCTTTTGCTCCTCCAAAACACTGCAATTTGTTGGACTATCAGCGGATATCAGCAGGCGGTGCGCGTTTAACACCCGTTTGGGCAAGAACTGGAAATGGCTGTTTCCCGACTTATACCGTATTAGACTTCACAAAAAACTTGCCCGAACGCACCCTATAAATACTGTATTTTATTGTATTAGATTTTATTAAACTAAACTGATGTTGAAAATTTAAGTTTATTGTATTAGATTTTATTAAACTAAACTGATGTTGAAAATTTAACGCAGTCCGACCGTCTAGCGAGAAATGGGGATTTCCCTGGAGTAAGAATATGTTGTTTTTCATGGCATTACCAGACGTTTACACACATTTCCAGTTGTTTGATTGTTTAATAATCAGCCAATACCTGCTGCTACCTTTGGCTTTTGCCAAGGAAACCCAGAGCTGTACATAATATTGATACAGTAGGTACTGCACAGTACTAGACCTGCACCCTAGGAACTATAGTAATTAATGAATATTTATACCTTACTAAACCACTGCAACTGCCTCTTAGCCTAATTGTGTGTCAATCCTCAATGCCATTGTTACCATCCTGAAGGTATTAAAATACAAATCCAAAAAAAAAAAAAATACAGAGCAAAAAAAAAAAACTGAATTACGATATTGATTGATTTACCATGGAAATACTGTAGTGTGGTCATGTGACATATCGTTGAAAAAACATAGAGTGTTGTCAGTGAGAAAGCATGAAAAAAAAATGTTACGGTTTAAAAACAAGCATGCAAACTTGAAAACATACACATATTAAAAAGGTAATGTTAAGAGGAACCACAATCCCCATCGGTCTGGTTGTTCAAGTAAGTGTGGATGATTGCTGCACACTCAATTTAATGATGACATTTATAATGTGGATTTTACACTAAATTTATCTCTGGTGTAGTACAGTACTGTACATTATGTATAATGGTAGCCTGTTAATTCCATCATGAAACTTCCACAACTGGATTTGTTGTTAACTTTTTGTCACATAGAATATAATGTCTTTCAAACTGTAGTGACATTTGAACCTGATTATTTCTTTGACGTTAATATATGCACCCAAAATATAAAAATCACATTTGAAAAATAATAAATAGGATTTTAGGTAGCCTAGATAATGTTAAATGGATACCAAATCAGTAGATTTTGACAAAATGAATTCATTTTAAAGATTCAGTTGGAGAATTTTAAGGGTGAGTGATAGGTAAATAACATCTATAAACTAATATAATAAGTGAGGATTTTAAGGATGGAAAAGTGGGTTAGTAAGGGTTGGTGGTGGGCTATGAATTGGCTTGAGACTGGATAGAAAACTTCAAGGCTGGGTGGTCCCTGCCCAACTTCGACTACCATAACTGCATCCCTGCATAATAGAAAAATTTGGAAAATGCTACATTACTGTAAAAGTATACAGTACGTTTTTATACTTTAAAACAATAATAAAAGAAAATAGTATTACTGTATATAGGTATAACTAATAAATTAATGAAGTTTTGAGTCTTCTAATGCTTTGTAAATAATAAATGTGTGCATACTGCAGGGTGTACATAATTTTATGTACAGGAACTGATCTCTTTAAAATTATACATTTTTTTTCTCTCTAGATCAGTTTACAGTATAAGATACAAATTAGCCTAAACTAATTTGTCCTAATTTGTAATTCCCCTTCCCCTAAACCTTGACTCGGAAATATCGGATTTGTTTCCGGTTTTTTTAACATACTGTTAAAAGAAACGTGACTGAAGTTAAGACCAACAAAATTGTATTATACAATTTTATTTACTCATAAATTTGCTTCTTTTTACAGAGCTGCTGACTGGAAACTTGATCAACCAGATTGGACAGGGAGGTTAAAGGTCATAGCAAAAGGAAAATCATGTTTTGTCAAATTAGAAGATAAATCAACAGGTAGGCCTAAAATTTTACATTTAACTCAATTTTATAAAAATCCATTGGAAAAAGAATATTGTCCTGATTATTATAAATCGCTTGCCCATGAACATCTTGATAATTATCTTGACATCTTCTAATTGGCTCATTTCGTATGTTCATATTTGCAGATCTTACTGTTTTTGATGTCATCTTTTTTATTTATTTATTTTCATTTATTTATTTAGTTATTCTTTTTTTATTTATGTATTTATTCATTTAATTATTTATTGATTTTGTTTTCTTGTAAATTTTATTTATATATTTATTTTTTTTAAATTTATTATTTTTTAAAAAATTTTTTTTATTTTATTTTGTTATTTTTATTTATTATTATTATTATGATTTTTAATTTGCTACGCTCATGCTAGGGTCAAATTTTCTTTCGTCAAATTGGCGAAAGGTTTTAAATTTTTTCACCAAATTGAAAATGCTTTAGCCAAATTTATAAACCAATGAAATTTCAAAAAAATGGTTCCGTAAATGAATTACTTGCTTATTTATGTCTTATTCATTTGTAACCAGTCGTAAAGGCGGTAATAATAATATATTAATGATTGAACAAACGAAACAAAATGATCGTTTACGATATGTGAGACAGGTGGCTACCGGACCTGCTCTAGTTTAGGCCTAGGCCCTAATTAGGAGAACAGAGTGCATCACTTTTTGGCATTACAAGCGACTGCTATTTCAAGTACTGTTTCATACAGTACAGTAGGCACTACCTGTTGTTTTTCTTGACAGCATATCAAATGTAAATATCAATAAAATTAATGCTTTTGTATTATTTGACATGCATTTTCTGACTTGTGTACTCTTTCCAAAACACAACCCCTTTTTTCGTCGTCACAATGACCTTTCCTGTGGGCAGAGAGCGCGCCTCCGAAACCCTGCCCGCCAATTGGTTAATTTCTTTTTCAGGGGTGCGGTGGTGGTGTGCAAACATGTGCTTCGATTGGGATGACGTCAGATTGCCCGAAGTTTCATGTGCTTGACACTGGAACAGACTCAGTGTAAGATGGTGAAGATTTAATTAAACAGACATATTCAGACAAATAAAGAAACCCTAATGGTTTTATTTTAGAGAGAAATACTGCATAAATAAATCTAACAAATTAAAATTTCATTCTTTAAAAATTTCCTCTGTAATCAGTGGAGGTGGAAGCATTTGTTGGTTGGTACTATGTGAGAGCCTCCAACAACCGCAGCCCCACCACGGTTAATAATAATAATATGTCGTTCCTTTAAAAAGCCTCTAAGCGCTTCACATTACTACCCCGGTCATTGGATCAAACACGTATAGAACACATTGAACACCAAATTAAATTATTAAGTTAAATTATATTATTATTCCAATATATTGCGGCTAGTAATCAGCGCAATTGTGTTGGAACCTACCAGGTACCCACTTGTACTCCTGGGTGGAGAGAGGCAACAGTAGATAAAGTGCCTTGCCCAAGGACACAAGCGATTTGCACAGTGAGATTTTCAAACCCCCGACCTCAAGGTTGGGAGTCCAAGCCACAACCGATGCGCCAACCGCTGGGGCTGATGTTAGAAAATTTTGTAAAATTTACACGTCTAGATGCTCGGAAATAGCACTCAAGTTTTTAATTTTGTTAATTTTTTTCATTCATGATTTTGCTGAAGGCAGAGACTGCGCCTCCGAAACCTTGCCCCCCAATTAGTTTTTTTTTCTTTTCGATTGTGATGACGTCAGATCAATTTCATCCTCTAAACATTCCTCCATAATCAGGGGCAGCGGAAGCATATATTGATTGGTACGGCGTAAGAGTCTCGAATAACCTCAGTTAGAACATTTTGTAGAATTTACATGTCTAGGTGCTCGGAAATAGTACTCAAGTTTTTAAAACGCCAGGCTACTAAGAAGAATAACCCACAGAAACATGCTTTGAGTTTTTTTCTGGTGGAAGGTTCAACTTCGATTTTGTTTAAAACATACTGGCGTGTCATTTTAATCAATTTATTATAATCTCCATGGCATGTCATGACAGTTCGTTTCACAGCATGTGGTAGACTTACGCTTGCTGTTTTGTTAACTGATCGTCTGGTTTAAGAAGTTGATTTGGATGTAATAAGTTGGTTTGGACTGAATAATACATTCGGAATTAGGAGAGATTCAGATTTTCAGAATACATGTATTATTTTTAGTAGTATAATAACCTTGTTTTAAATAATGAAATCGCCAAAGAAATATCGTTTTAAGCAGGCAATGATCAGAATGTTTGCTTCAAAACTGCCCATGCATGTCCATACGCATACCCAGAATGATTTATCTATCTGAAATTTTCTACAGTACATGAACTTGACAGTGTCTGTACTGTAAATCTGTAATGAACATGTGGATAGGGTCGTCTAGGCCTAACCTAGACGAAGATTAAATTTGTTTACAGTATATAAAAATTTGCTTTTGTCATTTTGGCAAACGATGCACATTTTTTCTGCGCCAAAAGGTATTTCATTTCGCCATTGGCAAATGGCTAGCGTGAGCATAGATTTGTAATGATGCCGTAAAAAAGGAGAACCACTTGATAGTTTTTATAACTTTTTTGCAGTCTTGGAAGGCAGCATCATGTCTTTGTTATGTTTTTCCAGAAATTAAATGTAAATTAAATTTGAATAATACACCTAAATACAGTTGATCTAATCCTTGTCATTTGATTGGTGGATTTCATATTATATGACATTGTTACAGCATTTATTGGCCCAAAAGCATTTGATTTGCATCATTCTTCATGAGAATTTAGTTCCATCTGATGTATTTTTGTTCATTCCATTTTGTCCTATTGCATGCCTCCACCTATTACAACTTTGGTTGATGAAAGAAGGTGGTCTGTCCTTTCAGAAGAAAGGTAGACTTAACTATTATTTTCATAAAATTTCAAGTGAAAAGGGTCTGTATTTTAGGTGTGTTATAAAATAAACAATGAATGTTATATTTGTGCAATGGAAAGAATATATTCATTTGTACTGATGATGCCTGTTTTTTTCACGTTTCAAATGAGCAATTTTGGTTTTATTAAAAGACAATTCAAATTAAACTAAACCAAATGAAAACTGATGAAATTTTGCAATCATAATTTTTAATTTAGCATTAAAAATGTAATCAAATAGGGTTTAAAATGAAATGGTGGATTTCATGAAAGAAACTAATACTGAAAAATGTTCATTGTTGAAAAGTATAAAATGAATGCTCTAAGTTTACTTGCATTCTTAGTGATCTTAATAATAATAATAATATACTTGAGCAATTGACAGTGCATTCAAAAGAAAACATTTAAAAAAGCAGTGTGTAACTGAGAATTTAAATGATTTAATGGGACTTTGTGCAAATATTTTCATATTATTGTAATGATAAAGCTATCAAATCAAACATGTACAAAAATGGTGGCTGTCATATCATTGTTCATAAAATTTATTTTTGTGTTTTCTACATGGCTTTTTTATGTTAATCTAAATATAATATCCCAGTCTTGAAACCGTTCACTTATAGGGCTGCCTGTACGAATTAGGCATCTGTGGATAATTGGTCTCAGTAGGTCACGATTCATGTCGATTGTCAGTGTAAAAGTGTGCAGAATGCAGAATTAGAGTATGTAAAACCTTCTTTTTTAAACCATTAAACTTGATTTCTTTGTATTGATATTTTTGTAGGTGAGCTGTTTGCAGAATGTCCAGTAGATGCCCATCCTGGTATGGCTGTTGAAGGTGTAATGGATTCTAGTAGATACTTTGTGCTTCGTATTCAAGATGGAACAGGTATGCGCATAAAGTATTCTCAATTTCTTGAGGGTTTTTTTCAATTTTATTTTCATTTATTGTCATTTTGCCAAATTTTGAATTTTAACTGGGCCTCTTGGGACCCGCAATAACCATAGTGCCACATGTCCTCATCCCCTCATGTGAGGGTTATTTGAGGAGTTGAGCGATTACTCCAGTTAAAATCCATCGTTAGCTACAGATGTGAAGCTAGCTAGGTCTTCAGTACAAGAAGAGCCACTGCCATTTGCAATTTATGAGACGTTATATATTTTTTAAATATTTGATTGCAGGTAGGAAAGCTTTCATTGGTGTTGGTTTTGCAGACAGAGGAGATTCTTTCGATTTTAATGTTGCTCTTCAAGATCATTTCAAGTAAGTTCAGAAAAACATACTGCTGCCCTCTAGTGTTGAGTTATATTAACAGTTCAATAGGTTGTTTCTATAGTGAGCTGGTTATGATCTTTATTGTTAAAAGATGTACCATCTCTCAAAAAAAAAAAAATTTTTTTGCTGATATAAAGGCCTTAAATATAAAACACTATGTAAAAGAATCAAGGCATTATTTAGCAGTGCAATAATTGACAGGAGTAATACAATAATTAGCAATTAGTAGAGCTGCACATAAGTACACTAGCGGAAAATTATTATACAAAGGTTAGATTTCATGATTGAAAAAATTTCCTGATTGCCTGCAAGGCCCAAAGGAAATTTTTGAATGTATTAAATCTGACCTAAGTATTATAATTTTCCCCTAGTGTACTATGTCCAGCTCTGCTAATTGCTTTAATCACTGTCTTTTATGTTAGTTTTGCTGTAAAAACACCAGCTTACACTTCATCGCAGTGTGCAATACATACTGTACAAGTTGTTTTCGCCATTTGCACATGAACCGAAATAATGTCAAGCCGAGAGTGGACTATGAATTGAATTGAATTGAATTGAATTGATTCGGCATCAAAAAAGAAAAACATTACAACCATTAAAAACATCAATCTACAAATTTACAACAAGATAGATAAATAGGCCCACAGCCACAAGTTAAAAATTGCAATAAAATAATATTATTAAAAATATTTTTAAAAATATTGCACTGTTGGAGATATTGGGAGTCATGGTGATGGCATGTGTCGTATGGGACAAAATTAATAGGATAATTACTTAGAAATTTATTTATAAAAAATTCTATAAATCTTGCTATTGCATTTAAATAATATTAATGGACTAAAAGTTGAACATTTTTATATTTTAAAATTTGGTTTTAGGGCAAATATTTAGGATTTTTATGCGACATAGGGGACATGAAAAAATATCACCATCTAAATAAATAACAATTTACTCTGCTAAATAAAATCACATGATCAGGGGTGAATGTTTGCTTATACCCCATCATGTTGACTGGTAACATTAACAACTGTGTATAATCGATCTATTAGTATATAATGAATAGGAAAATGAATAATAGTTTGGAAAATTGTAAAAACCAAGAAAATTATTGTATTTGTATAAAATGTTTTTAAAATGTATTTAATTAAATAATATTAATGAAATATTTCATGAAAATCTTGATTGTTCTGAATACTATTTTATTTGGTTATGCAATTCACCCAAATGCATATGTTTTGATGATTATTTGATTTTACTACATTTTTGACATTCTAATACGGAATCGCCCTACAGTAAATACTGTATCCTGAACCTTCTGACATTTTTAGAAGAATCACAGAGCTTTCAAGTTGAATGGAACTTCCGTAGCTACTACGGATGTTTTCTGACGTACAGAAATACAGAGAAAGACCGTCCTAAAAACCCATTGTGCAACGTCCATGATAATGAGTTTTCCATCAGGATCTAATGCATTATTGGCTTAAATTGTTCCTGGACAACTTCAATTTATTAGATTGTTGATAAATTTTTGTGAGACCAAAGAAAAGTGAGCTATACAGTAAATCTTTATCAGTACACTCTTCTGAGATTATCAAATTTTCTTTGAAAATAATCTGTTGTATGCCCATTGTCACGATGTGCCTATATATGGTCATGCTATGATGTCATCATGACCTTAATTAGACATGTTACATTTTTTTGGTCAAATTAACAGGGCTTTACAGGTTTTCTTGACATTCCACAGCTGTGGTAATTTTGACAACCTGTATTTTCCACTCAAGACATAAGTCATTTGCTGCTAAGGAATGTTCCTTCTGCTGAAATTTTTCCAGAAATGGATTTTACCAAATTTAAAATTCTGGATTAATGCATAAACCCATCACATAGGCCTGACACACCTGTTCCTTAAGTCTTATTTTAGCCTTATTGTTCAGTTTTATAGTTTGATTGAAAGTCTGGAAGGGTTCATTAACATAGAAGGGAGCTGCCCAGACAAGAGAAAAAAAGAATGACAATTCATTGAATTTGCTTTCTTCCTTTGGAGTTAAACAGCTAGAAAACAATGGGAAAACCTCTAAATTTTTTCTACAAGTTTAGAAGCAAGTCAAAACCCATAATTTTAGATGTCACTTTCTAATGTAAATTTGTGTATCAAATAAAAATTATGACGTACACTGTAATAATTGGCAGGAATAGCTTAGAGGTGAAATTTTAAGAAAATGTTGTTTGTTTTTCAGATGGATTAAACAAGAGAAGAAGATTGAGGATGAACAAAAACAAGCTGCTTTAGACCCAGGCCCAAAATTGGATTTAGGATTTAAGGAAGGACAAACTATTACCATCAATTTAGGAGTACGTTTCACAACAAAATATAGTTTAAACCAACAATTTTTATGTCTTAGAATGTAGCCAAAAATGTATTGAAATAAGGATAAATAAATAAAAAATAGAAAACTAGACTTGCTATGTCTATTTGTAAAACAAGAAACATAATGTAATAAAAATATCGAGCATTTGTGGCGCGCTGGTATCCGTTCGCTTGTTGACTTTTCCACGCACAAAATCAATATTTTTTTATATTTTTTTTTTCAAGACTATGCATAGAACCTTTTGACATAATGAGAACTGATGTAATTATAAAGTAAAACAAAATCACTTCAGGCACTATAATAATATTTTAATTATACATTCTTTTTTAAAAGTGTTTGCCAAGATTTATGTCTGTTTATTATTATGTTTTAAGACTAAGAAGGCAGCAGCTAGACCTAGGGGATCAGGAATGTCAGGAGGAGCACCGGGTTTATTACCACCTCCTCCAGGGGCTAAAGGAGGCATTATAGCGCCACCACCAACTAGGCCTTCCAACCAACCCAGCCAAGGTGTAGGAGCTTTCGGTCCACCGCCACAGCAGCAGCATAGCCAACCAGATATATTAGGTAAGAAGTGTGATAGAGATGATCAAAATAATGGAGCTTTCAGCTAAGCCACACCCCTTCAATATTCTTGCTAAGGTCCCACAAAAGATGGTGTAAATGTACTGTGAAGAATGTGAGACGACACCTGTGTTTTGGCGCAACATGTGTGTTATAAGTAGATCATCCATGTATTCTTGCCCTGTCTTGATTGGTCAATTTAAATGACACTCTAGGAAAGTTTTTATTAATTAAAAGGCATTGAAGGGTTATACTACATAATACCTTCAAGATCATCAAATAGTAAGGTATTATACTACACCTTTAGTGTATAAGTAGTAGAGGGTTAAGGCCTGTTTATATTTGTACCGATAACGATAAAAAGCTAAAAAGAAATTTTTCATATAGAAAATAAAAGAAATAAGAGAAGTTTTTACACTAGGACGATTCCATGATAATTTATCTTGTATACAATAACAATAATATTTTGACAAATGCATTTAAATGTCATAATCATGGAAAAAAAGATAAAATTGTAGAAGTAACAATGGTTTTATCGTTTTTCCATGATTATGATGTCATTTGAATTAATTTGTCAAAATATTTTGTTATCATATACACGATAAATCATTATCGAATCGTCCTAGTGTTAAAACTTCTTATTCCTTTTATTTTCTACATGAAGGGCTTAATAATGACTCACAAGAACATTTTTAAAATTTTTTTTACAGGTGGATTTGCATCACAACCAAGTAAACAAAACCCAAACATCGACCTCCTTGGAGGAGTGAGTTCATCAACTCCGCAACAGAACTCCGATTGGGGTGACTTCACAAGTGCAAACACACAGTGAGTGCTGACCGTTAACCCTTTACAGCTTAAAAGACATATTAATTCATTATACTTAATAATACGAGCTCTCCATTCAGTTGTGGCTTTCCTATAGTGTGTGACTGTGGGAATGTAATGTATGGGAAGAAAATAAACTGTAACTTGCAATTTATTGACTGAAATGCATGAAGACGTGGAATAATTCATTCAACTGCTTTCTTCTCCCCTAAGGGTCACATCATTTCCAATCAGCTGCCAAGAGGCACACTTTCTTCTGTCCACAGTGCACCGACGTAACTCCCTGTTCTTCTCAAAGGATGGTACTGCATTCTTTTAGAGTGCACACAAGCCAATTGTGTATACACTGGGCCTATGGTTTAGATTCGCTATTCAAGAAGCTCGGCCATTCGATACATTTCAAGCTGCGAGTCACAAATTATTTCCTACCTTTATTATGTTTACATTTTTGTTTTTATAAGTTATAAAGAGAAAAGTCACAAGCATCTTTGGCATCCTGATATTATTGCTAACTGTTTGTTGATTTTGGGAATTCCTGTTCAAACATGGCTATTCTTACATTCATAATGCATGATTCACATTTAATAACCAAGATATTGTTTAAATGGACTGAAAGTTGTTACATAATTGATCTTAAAAGTATAAACACTTCAATATTGACCACTGGTACATACATATACAGTCATGTATTTATCAGCTTAAAGCCCCATTGCTTATATTTTGCCAAAAAAGTATGTTTTGATTTATTTATTTTGATTTGAACAGTACAAAAAGCAGCAACAGCTGAATGTTTTGCACTGTATTTAAAATTAATTTAAACAATTAACACTTTGACTGCCAGGCCATATTAGTAAAAGCAATATGCCCTCTGCCAATTTGACCAAGTTTCCAGTTGACATTGAGAACACATTTATATACAGATATGGAATGTTCTTCACACTGAAATAAAGAGTAATTCATGAGCTTTAAAATGACATCATACATTTTATTCATATAATAAACTATAGCCACACAAATTTGAATAGAAAACATAACTTTTTACAATTTCACACATTTCATTCAATAAAGATGAGAAAACAGCATTTTTAGTTTCATAATTCCTAAACATTAAAAACCAACAGTTAAACGCAACAATCTGACTTTTTTTTTTTTAGTATATCAGTTATTTATACATACATGAATCCATCATAATGAACACTCAAAACATTAAATACAAAGACGTCCTTTCCTTTAGAAAAATAATGACATGGAACCATAACATCTATGTTTTGATTGCCCCCTGAACTTCCCATAACATTCATCAGTACATCGCCACCCTTCACCTCTATTTCAACACCGTGCGAAGCATGGGTATATGCTAGTTACTTTTAATTACGATACAAGATATGATGATGACATTTTTTTTTTCTTTTTTCTTTCAGGCCATCTTCAAATTCCAATCAAGGAGGATGGGTACAGTTCTGAAAATGTTTCCATAAATAAGAATGGCAACTATTCTGATGAGACTTAATATACACTCATCATGCAATAGTTTCATTAATTAGTCATTCCATTATAGTGTCATACTACCCAACCCATGAATTTTTCCAGGTTAAAGGTCAGAGGTTAATGGTATCCTGCACGTTTTTGAATGTACCATTTTGTACAGATAATAATAGTGCTGGTAATGCTCATTCCTAGTGTCATCTGACATCACTGTTAGAGTTAACCTTTGACATGTGAGTGTAGGAATTGGACTAATTTAGATACCCTACCAACAAAGAAAGGTTCTGTTGTATGCTCCCATTCCAATTGCCATACTTTTGTTGATAGCCTTTGAAGCTATAGCAAGGCAATTTAATTATGGAGCACATTTGATGTTAAATATATTCCTATATTACATGCAGTATGCAGTACATTAAAAAATATAGTGTGCTTAAGTGAATATTAATCACATAAAATTCACCAGTAATTAACATTTATTCACATTCTGAATCACTTTTTAACTGCACCTGATGGATCTGGGAAGCAAAAAAAAAATCATCAATTTCTGATGATAGTGTCGAATGTATGATTTTATAATAAAAACAGTGGTTTATTGAGTGATTTCAGAAGTCTACCTCTTGAAGGAAAAAATATATACTGAAATGCAAGATAATGTAAAATACATATTAGGGAGCCAATACTATAGCCAATAATCGATTCATACTGACCAGTAAACTGCTCCCTGTACTGTTTTGACTACATTATTTTCTTATATTAAATGTTTATTTTTGAAATTTCTTCCAATAAGTCAAAATGTGATAGTTCCAAAATTATATATAGTTTTAAAGTCATTCAATTGTTAAGTACTGTATACAAAGAGAGGTGTCGCATATCATTCTTTTGTGTAAACACCTGGTAAGTGGTGGAAAGGCAGAAGATATAGCTGCAGTAGCTGTTTATATTTTGCATTCAAATGTAATAGACCAGCAAGTAGTTGCAATTATTGGTTAGCCCTCTGCAATGTTTAATAGTATCCGTTTCTTTGTCACAAAATTAAGATTAAAAATGCATATTTAAATATGTATGTCACAATTTCGGAACTGAATCAAGATTCAATCAGTCATCAGATTCTTGATGATGACATAATTAATGTCGAAATATTGAATTCAAAGTGTGTGCCTGCTTTCCACTCGGTGAATTTATTTTTGCGAATCGAAAGTCTTGGTTCATGCGCATTCAAATCTCCATAGGAGTTTTTCGCTTCAGCGAAATCAATAGTTCAAACTGTTTCTACTTTTTGCGAAGCAATAAAATGCGCAAATAGTGTGCTCTCGATTCATGCGAATAAATTCGGCTAATGGAAAATAGGCCTTATAAAGCTTGAGAAACTTTTTTTGTTGTGCTATAATTCCTATTTGGAAATAGTATAGTAGAAATATTTACATACAGAATTTAGTTCTCCCAATAGTATGTATTCTGAAAGTAATTATTATTCAGCACCAGTTTTTTTTTTTTTTTAAAGCCTCTCATACAGTTTTTTTTTTTTTTTTTTTTTTTTTAAATTTGCAACCTTGTATTTTGAAAATATAATTTTATAGCAGTTCATTCATAAAACTGAATTGTAAGACACTTAATTTCTTTCTTGCAACTATTGTTTAGATGGTATTAAATTAACAGTTGTTTGAATTTGAATACTATTGATTGAAATCTGGCAACAGAATTGCCATAGCCTGTACTTCTATTATCGGGTGGATACTCTATTAAAAGCATAAAATAAATACATAAATATTGTTAAATTTTTAAGCATAAAATAAATACATAAATATTAGCAGTGCTTAAGAATATAATAATATTGGGGTCTCGCCCAAAAATTAGTCTTGTGATTATGTTACGTAAAACCTTGAATAAAAGCCTTGGCTTCTTATAAAGCACCCTCGGATGGACTTCTTTTCAAAATTACATTTGCAAACTCAAATGAGGGGCTTCATTCCAAAATGAAAGCTGTAAATTTTTGAATTACTATTCTATGGAACTCGAACTTCTGTTTAATATTTTCTAAATTGCTAGTGCAATTTATTGATAATGACACGCTACCATAATCATTAAAAATAATGTCAGTCTGAAAAGTAAATTATTTTTGCGAGCTGATGATAAGGCTTCTTTTTGAGATGGGCTGGTTAACGAGATTAAGCCCATAGGGATTCTATTCGAGGTTTTACAGTATTTGGGTAGAAGGTTTGAATGGCTTTCCTAAGATACTGTAAGTAGTTCCAGAGATGCAAGTGTTTTAAAATTTCGATGTATGAGAATCTGGTTTTGAAAAAGAAATCGGCCTCAAAGATAATATGACCTATACAAATAATAAGATTAGAAGTACAGAATATGCACGGAGAACACTTTTGTAGTAAAAAATTAGCGTAAAAGGCAAACTATCATAAACTGTAAGTACAGTTCATCCTCAAGTCCTCAATTCCAGATCACTTTAAAGTACCAATGAACAATATTCAATATCTTACACAAAACTTGCCCTCAAATTGGAGACCAAACCACCAGACATACATTTTTTAGGCCAAAAAGGTGGTCTTAAATTGGAAAAAAAAATTAAACACTAAATTTGGAAAAAATTTGAAATTTGACCTATTTTTGTGATTACCTTAATAATGATCTCACAAATGATGCACCTTTGAGGTGAGTCCTCGGATGTTCAAGATAGAAAATGATCTGTATTGTGTGTTTATATATTCATGTGTTTTGTAAAATCTGTTAAGTATATCTACAAATGGCTTATGTACTGATGAACTTGGGTGATCAGTGGTGGATTCAGGTGGGAAGCTGGCCCAGGCTCCCCCTAAATATTATGGGGAAATTTCCGAATTTTTCTTACCTCAGCCCCAACCATGGTGGGGATGAGGTGGTGTAGAACCTCCGCATGTGAAAGTTCCTTCCTGGGCCCCCTCTATTTCGAATTTCTAATTTGCATGAGTGCTGATATAACACTGTAGATGATTGCTCATGATTTTAATGGCTATTTCAATTGTAAATGTGCTCATGTTATTTTGTCAAGGCAAGTGATACTCATGAGTTTTGTAAGTGCAAGCATAGGTGGATTCAGTCGTGGAGGGGGCAGTGGAGACAGGTGGCCTGGGTGCCCCTAAATTTTTCAAAATTAAAGATAAAATGGGTGAAATGAAAATAAAATTTTATATTTTTAGCGTGAGAGTGCCATTTCTGAGCCCTTCTATTTCGAAATTCCTGAATCTGCTAGTGGCTAGTAATATTGTGCTTATATAAACATTAAATAACTGTCTAATGTCGTTGATAATTCAAATATTGTTAGTACTGTATATACAATCATTTTCAAGTTTTGGGGAAGATATGTTGGAAAATAGTAACCGTATGTACAATTATTTTCTGGGAAAAATCACTGAAGGCATGGCTCCAAAGTCTTGTATGTTTTCCAACAGCACCCAAAATAACTAGGAATATATTTGCTTTATAACTTTCAAGTCAATCACCTTGTTATCTCATCTAGCTATTAATTGTCTTTGCCAACCATGTAGGCCAGTAGCAAGAATGGTTAGACCTGTCATCGGCATTTAGCTGGCCATGACAGTGTGGTGTGATAAATAATAACCAGGTTTATTGAAGCTTTTTGCCAACAAGCCACACAACATACTTAGCCAAATTAGTGTCCAATCAGGGATAGAAAGTTTTTGTGAAGTGAAAAATGATAATGTCATGATTGACTTAAATGATTATTAGACTTCAAAATTGTAGTGCTCATCATGAACATTTAGAAAACCAGCAAGTTTGATAGTAATAGACTTTTAAAAATGTTAATTATATTGTTTATTGTTATTTGTTATTGATTAATATTTAGTTGTAAACTGGATTGTTTTAAACAGTTTATCCCCACTAATTTCCATTGTTGACCATTATGATTCATTCATTTTTATTCCTTTTACCATGCCATATATTAAATATGAATAATGTTATCTGTATCATTAGGCCTAAAAAAAAATAACTTGTTTCTTTGCTGTCATCCACCACCCCTAAAATTAGGGGCGGTTTTTTTTTTTTCAAAAAAATTTTTTTTTTAAGATCAAATGAAAACCAATTTTTCGTCGATTTTGGCGCATATCCGTGTTACATGGAAATTTTTAATATTTAAAATTTTTTTTAAACAAAAAATTGATTGTTTTTAAAAAAAAATGGAAATCGCGCAGTTTTCACAATGTTTCTACGATTTTACAAAAAAAAAGGAACTTTTTTCAACCCGCCCCCCCCCCATATTCAAA